TTTTGATGACTTTATCTCTTGACAATGACTAACCTCTTTTGGTTTGTGTACTGTGCAACTTTGTACTGAATGCCAGAAATCACAATGGGTCAAGAATGGGGACTTTGGGGGCCGGAGCAATAGCACAGCGGTTAGGGTGTTTGCCTTGCACATGGCCGACCCGGGTTCGATTCCCGGCATCCCATATGGTCCCCTGAGCACCGCCAGGAGTAATTCCTGAGTGTGAGCCAGGAGTAACCCCTGATCATTGCTGGGTGTGACCCAAAAAGCAGAAGAAAAAGAAGAATGGGGACTTGGTTAGAGTACTAGAAACAGGGACACCCTTTCTTTTCAAGCTCTTAGTGAATGAACCGGAGCAGGGTGCTAAGATCTGGGCTGGGATCTGGGCCAGTGTTTCCTTCCACGCCCAGGAGGTTTCAAGCGATGCCCTCTGCTCAGGGTCCGTTCTGGGCCGTGGGGTCTGGCTGTCCTCAATGCGTGTGGCCCCTCTCCGCGCTTCCCACCATGCCCACAGAGGGGTCGGGTCCCAGCCCTGAGACACTGCCTTCCGCTCCACATTTCTGAGGCTGGCCGGCTGGGGGGAGGGGAGGGACTTCTGGCCCATCTGGCCCAGTGTCAGTCTTGGATCATCTGCTCCGGACATCACCCGCGAAAGCTCCCCCTGCTTCTCATTCCCTGAACAAAGCTGGAGGGTCCTGAGCAAGGCTGCACCCCTGTATTCCTCCTCTTCTCGGTTCCTGTCACAGCTGAAGTGCATGTGTCCGAACAACAATCAGACGAGACGGTACGATGACTTCTTCTCCAGCATTGGCTTTGGGTCATTTATTCATTCCTGCAGCCAGATGCAAACAGCGGCCTGGACTGTGATGGAAAGAACGTTGGTGCCTACCTACAGCTAGGCTGGATTCTGACACTCCTTAGTTCCCGCCTTCAATTTTAATTAGGGGAAATACATTTCTGTGTTATAAGCGTGTTTCAATTTCTCACCTTCTATAAAATTGTTGCCACACTTTTAGTATTGGAGGGCACGCGGTTCAAATATTTATAACTATTCTAAATCTTACTAGCAATTGGTTAAGAAAACAACCGGTAGGAGCACAATCCAAATAAGCCACACAGGAAAAGAATAAACAAGAATCAAAGTGTGACCGCCATGGCGAACCAAATCAAACATGAAATAAAGGCAGAGCAGAGCCCGGGGCAGGAGACCAGGACCCGACCGGGCCGGAGGGACAACAAGGCACAGGCCTGGTCTGACCTTCAAAGGCATCCAGCGCCAGAGGCTGGGAGGTCACAAGCCGACTTTGGACAGGCAGGGCCCAGTGACTCTGCTCCGGGGCAATTTCCCTAAAATCATCTCACTTCACCCCCACATCCAGGGCCCCTGCATGACACAAAGCAAGGTGTTGGCTGTGGCGTCCTTTTAGTCGAATGCCACTCCCCCAAACATAACAAACCACCTCCACAACAGCCCACTGGTACCCAGCTGCTCTCCGGGTGCCCCCGGGGCTTCCCAGGAGGGGCTCCAGAGGCCTGGGACCTTCCTGGCAGTCCCGGCAGCTCAATGCCCAGAACTAAGGACGTGGGGGCTGCCGGAGCCAGGGGTGTCCGGAGCACAGCACGGGGCCACCACAGCAGTGCTCAGACCTGCAAGGCACCCGAACAGGTCGGTCGTGTGCCGTCTCTGCAGCGACCATCAGCTTTGCTCCCTGCTCACGGCCCGTTCTGCTGTCCCACCTGGGATGGCCCTCGAGGGCAGTGGACCCAGCCCTCGTTTCCTGGTGCCCCTTTACCTGGCCCTTGCGTCTGGCTCTTATCCCCTTTATCTTGTACTTCTTCTTGAAACAGCACTTTCTCCTCCCCCCAGGGAAAGTACGGCTGTGCAGCTGATGGGGCACGCGGCTCGGCCGTGGCACTGCCAGTCTTGGCCCTCCGTGGCCTCATCCCAGTGAGTGCAGAGCCTCCAGAAGCCTCAGACGGGACAGTGGCAGCCAGGACCCAGACAAGTTCTCAATGTGCAGCTGAGGGGCACGTCGCCAGTCCCAAGGAAGGTGCCGTCTGGACCAGGAGAAACGGGCATCTCCCCACCGAGAGTCTGCAGCTGGCAGGAAGAGACGCCCAGAGTGGGACCCCCTGCTCCTCTGCTGTGGCATGGCATGTCCTGATGCAGCTGTGCCTGGGTCTGTCTCCACGCCCCCTCTCTCCCGGCAGTCTGCAGGCTCAGGACGGCCTCAGGGCGCCGACCCCAGGCCTCAGGATGGCCTCAGGGTGCCGGCCCCAGGCCTGTGTTCAGCCCTTCCTGACGTCCCACGGACCTCCTGAGGGCACAGGACCTCTGCCAGCGCAGTTGTCACCAACTGAGCCACTCTGTGTCACAGAGTCCACGGTGTCTGTTTCTGCTGGGGGGGGGGGGGGGGGCGGGGAGATAGACTGCGGGAGTGGACAGTAGGGACAGAAATGCCCATAGGGAGGGGCAAGAACAGGGTGAGGGGTGCACAGGGAGCGGGCAGGAACCCTGCCCCCCGCCCCCCGCAGATGTGGGAGCAAGGACAGAGTAGCGCCAGGGTCGCCTCATGGGAACTGTGCAGATGCGCCCTCCCAGCATGGGGTCAGCACTGGACAGGACCTCACGCTGCCCAAGGCCTAAGTGGGGCTTTCACTCTGAATCAGCCCCAGAAGCAGGTGGGGTCACCATGGAGATTCACTGCAGAGGCCCACCCACTCCTGTGGAACAAGGCACCCCAGAAAACCGCTCCCCGAGTCCCAGCGCAGCACAAACCTCCGGAATACCAGGGAGTTGGCCATCCACCAGGAGCACCAAGCCCAGCAGTAAAAGACCCAGTTCTGGAGCCATTACCTCTGGGTGTGACAACTGCCAACAAGACAAATCACTCTAGAAGCCTCGCTAAAAGGGGAAAGCCCCAGGCATCACAGAGAGTTCAGTTCCTGGCACTGTGCCCTCCAGCACTCCAGAACTGCCAGGCTCCAGCCCCCACAGCAGCCAGTCTGGACCCTAGCACTGCACCCCAAAACAGTGGCTAATATGTTTACACCCAACCTACTGTATACAATGTATATATCTTTACAAAAGCATATAGTGGTATCAGATATTTCTTGAGTTACACTGCAACATATTCAAGAGTGGTTTTCGATCACCAGCGCTGTCTGCGGAACTGCACATCAAATGCTTTAATGAAGTCATATTTCCTCCCTAATCACGGGGGAGTTGGAAGAGGCACCCTCCTCGGTGACCGGCCGCGCCACCCGCCTCTGTGCCAGCAGCTAGCAACATCTGAGCGGCCCCACCTGTGCGCCGGGCCCAGGGGCAGCCACTCTTGCCTCCCCAAAGAGCTGTTTTCCAGAATTCTGAGACGTGTCCAAAGGTCTGCTTCCAGGAAGCAGCATGGGAACTTTCATCTCCAACAGACGCACCTGACAGTCGTATTAAATAACCACTGGGCAGAGATGCCCTCCCCCAAAGATACACAAAACCACAAGGGTTCAATTTTATGGTTCAGGAATCAAAAAAAATAGAAAAAGAAAAGAAAATCCAGGGAAAATAAAAGTAGACATTTGACAAATAGTAGAACAGGCGAGAACGAGCGGTTATTCTATTACAACCATGTTAAACAGAAATATAATTTTATTTGTCCCTAAAAGCAGATCAGCCCCAACGCCGGAAGGTAGAATGAACATGTCCATGGCCTGAGAGGAGGTGGGAGCAGCTGGCCTGGCAGCCACCCTCCCCTCTCCCCTGCCACCCACGGGCGAGAAAAGCTGCAGGACTTCTGTGCACTGTCCCCAGACCTTCCAGAGAGTGGTGACAGAGAGAAGGAAGGAGACTCGAAGATCATCTCAGAACAGGTGCACATACCTCGCCGTTTTTAAAACATAGTCCGCAACGTTTTGCTGCCAGTTTATCGCCAACACATTAAGAAACTAAAAAATTGCCATTTTCCATACAAAAGAGCCACCTGAACCGTGAACCTCTGTATAAAACACGGGACCTAATCATCTTTTATCATCGTTAAATGAAGTAGGAAACATGATCATCGCACTGCAAAATGTTTGTAAATGTGCGTGGATCCCCTTCACCACGAGTTAATAACTCAGGGAGGCACAATTACAAGGACGGCGGGCGAGTTTCAGTCAAGACTCATTAGGGCCCGGCAGAGCACCAGCCAGCGCGCTGCTCTCCCTGACTTATCACTAACCAGAATCCGCAGCAAATGAGAATGCATGAGCCAGGCAAACAGAGAAGGAGATAAACACATCTCCAGCCCAGCACTACATTATCCCCGGCAACATGTCCTGATTATGAAATTCGAGAGACACACATCAAAACGAGCTTGGGAGGGCGGGAATCACGGGGGATAATGTGATTCTGAAGTCGTAAAATAGCCCATAATGGAAGGTGTGCGAGATAATGTCGGCAGGGTAACACTGGCTTCATAATACGATCGTATGTTAAGGCGATTTTAAAAATCAATTTAAAAATTCATAAGATGACTCTCTTCTCCCGTTACCATACAGGCTTATTATACCATCCTTCATCCCAGGATTATTTCACGGGCGTCTGTTCCGGGACAGACATTCTTTCGGGTCACAGGCCGCAGAGGAAGAGCAGAATCTGTCCCCTAACGGGAGTTCCACGCCACTGCCGACACCACCCTGCCCAAGCGCCACACAGGGGACACAGCTTTCGACAGCAGCCTGGTCCACAGGAGCAATGACCGGGAGCCCACAAGGCTCGCGCCGGTCCGGTCCTGAACACAGCTCCCTCGCGAGGCTCCTGTGCACAGCCCCGTATCACAGAGCCCAAGCACGACCATCAGCAGCCCCCGGCCCCATCTCTCTGTGAAAGGAACTATGCCTGGAGCAACAGACCCGTGCTTGTCCCCCAGAACGCTCTCGGGAAACGGACGGCCAGAGCCATCACGCACAAAAGCCCGTGAGGCTAAAGCCACACAGCACTGTGGGCAGCTCCTAACAGCACCCACCTGGGATGGGCGGCGGGGCCAGGACCACCGTGGGCGCAGGCCTGGACAGACACACGGCCACTTGGTTTGCCAACAAATGAGGTTTCTCGGGCCCATGGAATAGAATTGACTCTTCAGGATACAGCCAAGCGGACTCCAGAGCAAAGGAATTGTTGAAGAAGATCTGTGGAGAAGAGCAGGCACCGCATTAGGACGAGCCCCAGCGTCAAAGGGAACTGCTCCGGGAAGGAGGCACGGGAATGGGGCGCCGTCAGAAGTCCTCAGACCGCGAGACTGGGTCTCCAACACAGCCGCCTTCTAAGCAGAACACGGGCCGGGCTGTGTCTGTCCGCCTGGGCCAGTTCAGCCCAGAGGCCAGCTGAGACTTGAAAGCGCCACCTCTAGGAGGTGAGGAGAGCCTTGTAGAACAAGTTTCTACATTACGGTGCTTTTAGTTTAGACAGACAGGATAATCAATAAAATTGAATTCAAACACCGAGATAAACTGTCTGGAAGATAAACATTCAAGACATGTTTAAAACAACATGTTTACACAACAGCAGGAAAAATCCTCATAAACCATGAACTGGAAGCACGTAGGACGCAGATGTTGAATGTTAGCCTCTGATCGACGGTCACACATCTCTAAATCCCAGAATGTAAACTTGACTCGGAGACCAGAACCATGCTCTGTTCTACGGGACAGGACTATTCACGCTGACGTAAAATGCCCCCCTCCGTGTCTCCTGTTGTCTCTGAACAGACTCATCTCATTCTACACAGTCCCCAGGCAGCCCAACAATCCACTGCACGCAGGGAAACAGCTTGGCAGTGCCTGGCCGTGAGAGAAATGCCCACAAGTCCACCGACGTGGACGGGCGCCGCTGCTGCACGATCACACGCATTCTTACCTTACAGGTCGGGATCCTTTTGTCTACCCAACTTTTGCCAACAGGAGCTGGGAGGGCGGCCGGGCGGACGTGTGGGACAAAGGGCACCAGCTCAACGGTGGAGGAGGGGGACAGGCCCACAGGCGGCGGAAGGCCACAGAACAGCCACTGAAACGCAAGGAGAGAGCAGAGTGTGGCTCTGAGCCTGACCCAGAAGCCCAGCCACCGACAGAGGCTGCTGCTGCTTGCAAAGAGAAACTTAAAAATGCGTCTCTTCGGTCAGGAGGAAGTCCGCCTTCCCCTGGCTGAGAAAACCAAAAAGTATTCACGAATCTGAATGGGAAAAAGGTGATAAAATCACCCGGGGTTTTCTACGGTCTCATGACTAATGGCCACATGCATCACTAACACTGCCTGCATCACCATGGAGAACTCGTGCTCGGGAACCCACGACTCTGTGGCAGGAAACGGTCTCTGTCCTTCAGTGTCGGAAGGCACACTGGAAGGCAGGTTCCGGCAGCCCCCAGATCGTTCCCGTATTCTGCTCACAAGCGAGCCAACAGCTCGGTCTCCCGACGCTCCCTTCGGCAGACCGTTCGGTCTCTCTCGCTTTCAAAACAGCTCTTATTTTCAGAAATAAAAGTGGCTGCGGGATTAAGCCTCCCAAGTCTCCGAATGCTCCCAGATGCCAGCAAAGTCCAAGGCAAATAAATAGGTGAGGCTGTCACGTGGGTGACACGACCAGAGCACAGAAAGAAGCCGCAGCCCTGACGGGGACACGGGAGAGTGGAGGGGGATGGAATCGGAGGGAGCAGCCAGGGGACCCCGGGCAGGCACCCGGACACGTCCGCCCTGGCCGTTCCAGCACCACAAAAGCTTCCCAGATGCTCCTCTTAGGAGAAAACGACTGTCCGGCTCCACATTTGGCGATTTCACCAGTGAACACGCGGCACAACAATAACGCAAAAATTCAGGGTTTTGATTTAAAAAAAAAGAGATTTTAAAGACCTACAGGGCTCTCTCCGGAAAACCATGGTCGTTCCCGGGCATCCTGTACCTCTAGTGGAGACCTGCGAGACGCGCACCCTCCACGTTCGGGGAAGCCACGGCGCCTCCGCCAGCCCCAGACCGGCCGCAGCGCGCGCAGCCCGCGGTGGGCGCCGCGGACGTGCGTGGCGGGGGCGCAGGGGCCGGGCCGGGCGGGCCGGGTCCCGGGTCCCCTCCCGGGTCTCGGGGACCCCCGCGGCCCTCAGGGCCGCATCGGACGCGCCGCACGCGCCAACGAGGCGGGTCCCCGGGAGGCCCCCGGTCCAGGGGCATCTGCACAGTTGCGAGCGGACAAAGGGTCCTGCCCGGCGCGGGGCGTCACTTTCCCCGCCCGGGGCCGGGGCGGAGCGGGACCCGGGGGTCCGGGGGTCCGCGGGATCCGGGGGTCCGCGGGTCCGCGGGGTCTGCGCCCCGCGCCAAAGTCCCAACTCAGGCGCTAGTGGCCGCGCGCTCACCTGTCCGGCGCGGCCGGCGGGGTCCGGCAGCAGCGGCGGCGGCGGCGGCGGCGGCGGCAGCGGCGCGCCCGGGGCCGGCCAGCCGGGCAGCCCGGGCAGCGGCGGGGCGGCGGGGGGCGGCGCCGCGGCCAGCAGCAGGGGCGGGGGCGCGACCCCCGCGCCCAGCCCGAGCAGCGCGGCGGGCCCGGGCGGCGCCCAGGGCCAGGGCAGGGGCTGCGCCCGCCGCGGGCGCCCGGCGCCCCCCAGCATCCTGCTCCGCGCGCGGGCGCCGGCGACTCCCGGTCCGCGGCGCCGCCGCCGCCGCCGCTCGCTCCGCCCCCGGCCCGCGCCGCCCCCGCGCGCCGCCCCCCGCCCCGCGCCCCGCGCCGGGACCGCCGCGCCCGCCGGGCCGGGCCGGGGTCGCCGGGCCAAGGGCGCGGGCGGGTGCCGCCCGCCCGACACCGCAGCCCGGCCCGGGCGCGCCCCCCGGGACCCGGCAACTCCGCGGGGCGCGCACGGAACGGCGGCGGCGGCGGGGTTGGGGGGGGTCCCCGCGCCTCCTGGGGAGCGACCCCCACCCACGGACGCTTCCCACGAGCGAGTCCGTCCGCCCCCCCGCCCGTGCCAGGGGGAGAGACAGGGCCCCGCGGGGGACTCCCGGCGCGCACCTCCCCGCGTGCCCCGGGTTCGGGTGGGGGGCGCACGGGACCCCGCTGTGCGCGCGCCTCCCGGGCCCAGGGCGCCCGGCATGTGCTGCCCGCCGAGGCCGAGGCTCTGCGGAGTCGAGGCTCCCCTGCGGGCAGCGCGGCCCCTCGGCCCACCCCAAGCCGTGCCCGCCCCCACCGCCCACGGGGAGCCTCGACTCCGCTCCGGCGCGCGCGGACGGGCCTCGGGGGGCTCGAGCGCGGGGAGCCGCCCGCTCCACGGACCCACCCCACGGGCCTCCCCGGCTGCAGCCGCTGATGCCGCCGGCGACCCCCGCCCGCCTCTGTCTCTCTGTCTCTGTCTCTGTCCGTCTCTGTCCGAGTCCCGCCCCCGCCCACCCTACGCGTGCCAAGCCCCGACCCCCGAGTGTGCGCTCAGTGCGCCCCCCCCCAGCGTCCCGCACGCCCCAGGCCTCGGGCCGCTGCTCCCCCACCCCGGCCACGTGGGAGCCCCCCAGCGAGGACCCGCGAGAGGCGCGCGAAGCCCCGACTCCACGCAGAGCCTCGCGGGAGCGAGGACCCTCGGCCTGGACGCCAAGACCCGCGTGAGCAGCGCAGGGGAGAATCGCGAGAGCGGAGCACGGGCGCGGCGGGAAGGGAAGCCTCGCCGGAGCAGAGGCCAAGGAGGGCACGTGGCCGGGTGGTCGCGAAGCCAGGTGGGCCGGGAAGCCTCGTGAGAGTGGAGGCGCGTGTCAACTCCGCGCGCGGGTGCGCTTGCGCAGACCGTGGTCGTGCGGGCCTTGCCCGGACTCGGCTCCCGACGGGGCTGTGGGCGCGGGCGTCGAGGACTTCCAAGCCAAGGCGGAAAAGATAAAAATACTTTGGCAAGTCGCGAGGATCGATGCGCGAACGCGCGCCGCATTTCCACGGCACACGCAGGCGGGGCGCGCGCGACTCGGAGATGCGCAAGGTGCCAAATAGCGTCGGGGCGGGCGGCGGCGGCGTCCCCGGATCGGACGGGGCGGCCCGTGGGGGCGTCGGGGCGGGCGTCGCGGCCCGTCCTCCCGCTCCTCGCTCCGCGTGTGATTCTGCGGCAATCAAAGCAATCAGGCGGCTTTGTTGTGGGACTCGAGATGCTAATGGGCGGCGGCGTGCGGGGCAGGAGTCGCCCAGACAGGCAGCTCACCGGGGAAGGCCGTTCCAACGTGGTAGTGACAAAAGGTTCGGGGAACACTGGGCCGGCGCGCGAGTGAGAAGAAAAGCCAGGCTCGGATGCCGCCCCTCTCCACGCACAAGCCCAACGCAAGATGTGGCACGGAGCGAAAACGAAGGGAAAAGGGAAAGAGGGGAAAAAAAAAAAAACACCGAAAACTATTAAGGCTTCAGAAGAAAAGATGTTTGAAAATCTGTGCAACCTTGGGGCAGACAGAAATGTCACGGGTACCAAAAGCACGAACTAGAAAAGGAAACAATGGATAAATTAGTTTCCTTCGCGATTCAAACCGTTTGCGCTTCCAAAGGCACCACGAGGGATATGGGAAAAGCAACCCGTGAACAGGGAGGAAAATGCATCACGCGTCTACCCCGGGTCCTGACAAAGAACGCGCTATCTGGAAAGGAGCCGGCACTTACAAAGAGCTTCCCTCCTCCTGTGAGAAGAGAGCATACTTGAGTGGTGGCAGCAGGACAGCAGCTGAGGGCAAGCTGCCCCCGCCCCGGCCATAGAAAATGAAGACTGAAACCTCAGGGAGGTTGCCCCCTCTCCCTCGCCCCGCCTGGCTGAAGAAGCAGCGACTCAGCCCTAATGCCACCAAGTAGGAGTGCCAAGGAACGCCTCCAGAGCGGAGAGTCCACGGTCCTACCGCTTTGGAAGTCCCTGGTCCAATTTCTTTGAAGGTTAGACTGACGTGGGTCCCATACCCAGCGACTGCACGCTGAGCTCTTGTCTAGGATCTGTGTCTTCCCAAGTCTCGCAGACAGTGTATGTTTTTGAAGATTGTATTTAATTTGCTACCGAGAGTATCTCGCCTGCACGGCAGAACCTGGCAAGCTACCTGTGACGTATTCAATATGCCAAACACAGTAACAACAAGTCTCAAAAAAAAAAAATGGAGACGTTACTGGGGCCGCTGGAGCAAATCGGTTTGATTTATTCGTGAAGGAGGCCACACCGGGCTGTGCTTATAGCTCGCTCCTGACCTGGTGTGCGGGGATCACATCTGGCTTTGTGTTCAAGGATCACTCCTAGCACTGTGTTCAGTGATCACTCCTGGCATGGTGCTCAGGGATCACTCCTAGCACTGTGTTCAGTGATCACCCCTGGTATGGTGCTCAGGGATCACTCCTGCCACAGTGCTTGGGGACCGCTTTTGGCTCAGAGTTCCTGGCGCTTTGTTCAGGATTCCTCCGGATTCTGTGCTTGGGAGTCACTCCTGCTGGTGTTCAGGGATCATGCCGGGGTCAGCTAGGTGCAAGGCAGTGCGTGTCGTATCTCTCGTGACGTATCTCTCGTGACGTATCTCTCTAGTCCTGGAGCAGCATTTTAGCAGGTTTAGTCTGAATGGCCCCAACTGGAAAACGCCACAAGCCCCTCTCCAGGGAAGCAGTAAAGCAAACAGAGTTCCTGCCAGATGCTCGGTGGTCACATGACAAAGTGTCGGGGACACGGCGCCCAGAGAGCTACTCCTGCCGCTAAGCTACCCACTGGGGAAGGTAAGGCAGGACCGCGAGGAGCAGAGCGGAGAAGCGCTCTCTGTGGCTTCCGCCCTTCCCGGGCCAGCCTGCCCGCGCACCCACGGGCCCCGTGGCCGTGTCTCTGGGAGCAGCTGGGAGTCGCCTCCGCCAAGGAGCAGCCCCTCGAATCCACAGGCCACCTCTGCACTCAGGCCTCGGCCGCGCTCTCGGCCCCTGGCTCCCCTGCCTGGGCGCGGCTGGGAAGGGGAGGTCCTGGCGGAAGACAGAGCAGGAAGCTCGGCTGCAGCCAGGCTGCCGCTCCTGGTGTGTCATTCAAACTTGACCTTCCAAGGGAAAAAGCTCTGAAAAGCCATATTTCGAGATTGATGAGTTGCAGTACAAGAATGATTCTGCTCTCACTATCAAGTGGCAAGATGCTTTTAAACAGCATCACTCAGGCTGCTGTGTGCCCCCCTGGGACCTGCTCCGAGGAGCGCCTATGAATAAAAGATGCTTAGCAACCTGTCCTCACGCCAGGGGCCCTGCCCAGGACGCCGAGCAGCCCCTGGCGAGAGAGAAAGGGGAGCCCGGGGCCTCAGCACTGCATCTGCACAAGTCGTCCAGCGCCCTCTCCTGAGCCCAGTCCGGGGGTGCAGGTGTGTCTCCTGGGAAGCAGGAGGCCATGCAGGGGAGGTTGTGGAGGGCACAGACCCTGTCATGGGAGGCATGGGGGTGCCCACAGACCCTACCCAGGCTAGCGGGAGGTATCGGGACCCCGCTGCAGCTCCTCCATCGCTGAAGTTTCCTTCTCTGTCTCAGAAGCCTTCATCCATGGGACAGTCCCCCCTCCAAGCACACACACACACTGTGACCTACACAGCGCCATGCCCCAGGGCCGAGGCAGAGAAGAGAAGGTTGAGCACAGGGATAGGAGCCCTTGAGCACAGGCAGGCAGTCGTGCAAAACATCCTCGCAGTGAGGGCTTGGTCCAGCTGGCTGGACACCACCGTCCCAAGACTAGCCAGGGTGTTGGGTGAGGTTTGGCCTTTGCCGTCCGTCTCTTTACCTGGAACATGCTACTTCATCTTATCATCTAGTTCTTACTCTGGAGAACCTGGCAGGCCACCAAAAGTATCCTGCCCACACGGCAGAGTCTGGCAAACTCCCCGTGGCGAACTCAACATGCCAAAAACCAGTAACCATGATGGGTCTCATTCTCCTGACCCCGAAAGACCCTCGAATGTGGCACTTTTTAAAATCTCAGGGCTAGGACGAAGGAGACTTTACTGGGGCCTGCTCGAGGCAATCGATGAACAACAGGATGACAGTGATTCAGTGATGCTACTTCAGCTACATAAACTCCAACATTTAGCTCAGAGCCAATTTTGCACCAACTAGAAATTTCAGGCCAGCCCTGTAATATCGTCTTAATACTTAAGAGCAGTAAACTTCTGAGTGTTGATGGCTCCTTCTGAAATCGGAATCCCTTGCTCTTCCCCCTGGATCGAGGATTCTATCCATGGAAAACCCTGTGAACGAATGACTGAGTTAATGAATGAATTGATGGGCAAGTGGATGGGTGGGTGAGCAGATGGATGAATGAGTGGATTAATGGTCGTATGGAAGGGTGGAAAGATGGATGAGTTTCCGGGTGAGTAGATGAGTAGCAGTTGGGTGAGTGGTGAGAAGAATGAGAACGGATGGATGAGAACGAAACGATAGACAAATGAATGGATTGATGAACGAGTGAATGAAGAGTGCGTAGCGGATGGATGAGTGAACGGATAGGAGGAAGAAAGAAGGGGGAAAGGAACAAATTTATGCTGGCAACATAACTCAATGACCCACGTGTTCATGGCTAGTGCGGCGTCCAGCTTACTCATCCTTACCACCCCCGGATAGTACTAGAGACAAACAAACAAGACCCAAATCTCTAAAGTCAATACCTTCAGC